ATCTTTCTTTCTATCTTTCTTTCTTTCTTTCTTTCTTTCTATCTTTCTTTCTATCTTTCTTTCTTTCTTTCTTTTCTTTTCTTTATATTTTCACACTGCACAGCTACCAAAGGTTATAGAGCTGTATTTGTGATCAAGCAGAAAGTTTAATGTATTTGTTCTGTGGGTTTTTACAAAGCTGCAGGAGAAGATGTTGGTTAAAACTGGTAAAAGCTGAAGACAAACAGTAATGGGCCATTTCAGTAACTAGACACTGGCCCCTTACATCTGTTCATCATCAAGTGTGAAATCAAACGTAAAACAAGAACTCTCCTGAATGGTRCAGTTTTAACAGTAATCCTGCAGATGTACAGATGTGCTGTTCTGAAATGTACACACAGTGTAAACAGAAACATCTGGTGAATAAACCCAGAACCATGATGGAGCTTGGCCTTATTAATGCTTTATTGTTCTAGTTTCAGTCTCTTTGGTTCTGAGGGTGAACAGTACGTGGTCATAAATTAACATACATCTTTTTAAATTTAGAGAAAAGTTACTGTTTATGATAAAAATACTGTGCAGATTTGTTTCTTCCTCATAACGTTGCAGTGAGGACGTTCAGGCATGAAACAGGTGTGTTAGACTCCTGATGGAGGATTGGTATGAACAGTGCAGGAGCTGAGTGTGTTTATGAGCTGAGCTTTGTGTTGACTGGATGAACTCACCTGACTCACCCACATCCTCCTCCTGTGTTCGTACTGCTGCACCTGTCCACACAGAACAAACTCACCTATCAGTGTTTATGATCACTTTGCTTTGCTGAACAGCACATTTACACTCAGATAGTTTTATTTTTAAGCTGAATCAGAAAAAGTATATCTCTCAWCATGTCTCTTAAAGCAGTTTCCTGTAAAGTTAGCAGACATCCTCAGTGTGTGTTGATGGCTAATACTGATCAATAAACGTGTTTTTTACAGAAGCCAGAGAAGTTTACTATGGAGAGGACCAAAGACAACCTGGTTCGTTTCTCTATGCAGTTCATCACAACAAGCGTCACTCAGCTCTGGCAGGGTAAGTTAACCCTAACACTGCAGGTGAAGGTCACTCAGCTCTGGCAGGGTAAGTTAACCCTAACACTGCAGGTGAAGGTCACTCAGCTCTGGCAGGGTAAGTTAACCCTAACACTGCAGGTGAAGGTCACTCAGCTCTGGCAGGGTAAGTTAACCCTAACACTGCAGGTGAAGGTCACTCAGCTCTGGCAGGGTAAGTTAACCCTAACACTGCAGGTGAAGGTCACTCAGCTCTGGCAGGGTAAGTTAACCCTAACACTGCAGGTGAAGGTCACTCAGCTCTGGCAGGGTAAGTTAACCCTAACACTGCAGGTGAAGGTCACTCAGCTCTGGCAGGGTAAGTTAACCCTAACACTGCAGGTGAAGGTCACTCAGCTCTGGCAGGGTAAGTTAACCCTAACACTGCAGGTGAAGGTCACTCAGCTCTGGCAGGGTAAGTTAACCCTAACACTGCA